TCCTCAAGATGAACTGAGCATCCTTAAATTCCACTTACCTGAGCTGTTTTGTTGACCACATCAATCCCCTTGTGACCACAGTGCGCCCATCTTCTGATGGCTTCTTCCAACAAGAAGAAGGCATGTCAAAAACAACCTGAATCTGGTTTCTTGAACATGAGTTCACTAGATCTCAATCAAACAAAGCACCTCTGGGATGTGGTGGAACAGGAGTCCACAAATCTGCAATAATTATGTGTCAATTAATTATTTATTATTAATTAACCATGTCAATATGGACCAGAATCTCTGAGGAATGTTTCCAGCACCTTTTCAAATCTGTACCAAGGCAGTGTTGAAGGCAAAAAAAGGGGTATTTATTTTTAATATTTTAAAGGTCAGCCTAAGTAAACTTAATATAAACATAAACAAAGAAAGACTATGTGGATTGGATCCAAAAGAACCCTAAGGCAAATTGTCTATTTCCGAATTGCTTTTCCTTTTACCTTTAAGAGACGAAAAACAACATTAGGAGAAATCAACAAAGACAACGTAGTGAATGTTGCTTAAATTAGAGGCAGTTAAAACTGCAGCATTTTAGGAGGATTACAACGCCCCTGAGAGCTTAACACACTCCAACTTAAGAAGAGCACATTTCTGTATTGTCATAGCAGCAAAGATGTTTTCCTAATGTTTTGAGCTCCCAGTGCCATGGTAATTATTTAAGAAAGAGAGTCCTAAATAACCTTGAGAGAGTTGAACTTAATCTGCCAGATAGATACATCAACATCAATTAGTTCTTTCTAATTATTAGGTTTTTTTCCATCGACACTTTTGGGCAAGATAATTGCTGCCCTTAAGAGCAACCCTGTTTAAAAAAGGTTTTGTGCTTCTATAACACCAATCTCCATAAAGATATTGCATAATGGATATTGCTGCAGGATAGCTGGAGAGCCTGTATAGAAAGATAGCAGAGTGTCACCCTCACTTTCCGCCCAGAGCAGTTATTTTGTAGTGGAATATTTAAATGTACAGGCGGCGGCATAAATAAAAACTACACAACCAACTTCAATACTAATGTGCATCCCACACAACATCAAACACAGCTACACAGGTGGATCACGTTAACTAGAATGTAAACTAACTTTGAAGTTACTCCATCTGATTAATTTCAAATAAAATCCCACCCACATTTTTCCATTCTTTGTTTCCTACTGTGATTCACAAGTCCCTGCTCTACTTAAAGGAAATGCCAATTAGCTGTGTATGTCTTCTTTTAGAGATCTGACAATTACCATGTTAATTTGGGCAGGGAAGTAAAGGGAATTCATGAAAACATAGACCAGACAAACCACATCAGCAAAGAGGATCAGAGGCTGTTACTCAAAGCTCACAGACGGGGATAGAGGGATTACAGCTCAGGGTTCGCTGGTTCACCCTCGGGGATATGGAGGCTCTGGTTAGCGGGGTTTCAAAATTAGCAGTTTGTTTGAACTTAGTAAAAAGGTAAAGCCCATACAGAGAGAGTATATTTGATCAAGGAAAAATGTCTGCTCTATATTATTAGCACCTCTGTTTACCTTCCAGAGACCACACTCACACACACGCACACACCTATGTGTGTTTTCCAACATGGTTTACCTTTTAAATGAATAAATGCCTCTTGGACATTATTGGCCTTTTGGAGAAGGAGTTCTGGGTTTTTTTCTGTGGATGTACCATTCGGTTTGACAGGTGATCCAGCTGCGCAGCACATCATAGCTTGACGACATCACTTAAGATTGACGCTGTGTAACCAAAGCTTTCCAGTTTGGCAGCTTTGGATCCTTCATCCCTACATCTCTTCCTTACATCATTCTGTCAAATCCCTGCTAAGAATAGCAAAGACATAAGCATGTGACACAGGTGAAGAAAATGAGGCATCTGGCATAATTAGAATATATCTAATCTAATATCTAATATAAAATCCAGACGAACATTCGCAGTATGTCAAAGAACTATAGCAAAAAAAACAAAACAAAAATCGCCATCACATCCTTCTTGACCCTCTCCAATTTGCACAGAACCCCAGTAGCTGTACACATGATGCCTTACCCAACTCACTCCCCTCTACTCCACTCCACCCCTACCCACTTGAACACCAGGTGAGAGGCTTATATTAAGCTTGCTAGTTATTGATTATGGCTCAGCATTTAACACAATAGTCCCTTTGGGGTCACTCACTAAACTGAGTTACCTTGGCCTGTACTCCTCCGACTCAGGAACTTGTGGTAGCTGAAGTATCATCACCTGGATGGGAAGCTTTACCCAACAGGACCGCTTGGCCCTCAGGAAGGCGGGTTACTCAGCTGATAAAACAATCAAGGCCACGCCCCTCAAGTCTGAAAGGCATCAACAATGTAGAACAAGAGCCAAGAGGATTGCTGGGAACCCCAACTCCCAACAACAGATTGTATTCTCTGTTGCTATCAGGGAGACGCTGTGACCAAGACAGAGGAACAGGAGGAGCATCTAGCTCAGACCATCAGACTGTTAAATGAGACAGAGACTTAAGCTCCTCCCCCACTACGCCAATATCCAGTCACTGACGTCTCTTATGGTTGCACTGTTGTTTATTTTGGTTTATTGTTTATGTTGGCAAATTTATGTTGGTTGTTTCTTTCTTTTTTTTCCTCATGCACAGTCAGTTAAGTACATACGTGACTATACTGTGTGCGACAAATAAAGCTTAACCTTAAACTTGTACTGCATTTGGTAGCATTTTGCAGCATGTAAGTGAGTGAGTACACTCTTTGGTCCGTCTGACCCACAGTCCTCTGTGCTACAGCTGCAAGGTCATGTTATGACAAATTGGTATGTCTTAGAGAATACATATTACACACTTTGT